GCCGTCTGCACCGGGAGCCGGTCACAGACCGCAGCCTCCAGGCTGGGCACACAGCAGGAGGGAGGCAAAGGAGCCCCCCTTGGTTTCACCTATCCAAAGATTTTTTTATTTCAGAACTGTAAAGGTTCTTTCAGATTTTCTTTGGCAAAGTTTAATCTGATCCTCTTGTTATTGAGTGTAACCGATAGTTTGAACCTTGTTCTATTCCCATTCATGGAGGTGTTGTGATATGTCTACCACCCCTGGGTGTTTTTGACTTAGATGTTATGAAGCCATTTTTCTTATCTATGGAAATAATTTTTCTCAGGTCTTTATGTGTTGCTGAGCTGGCCATTTCATTCCTTATTTTCTAAGAAAGTACCAGATTTTTAATTTTTTTTTTATTCCTGAAGTTTTTATTATTTCTGTCCAACCATCTATTCGCTTCCGCTTATCCTTTTTCAGGGTTGTGAGGGGCGTCTGGAGCCTATCCCAGCTGTCTTAGGGTGGGAGGCAGGGTACACTGTGGACAGGTCACCAGATTCTGGTTTATTTTTTCAGCTGAATGCTAGCCTATCTCACTTGCACTGACATGTATTTGGGGATTTTTATTTACAATTAGAAAGAAAAGCTATAAAATGTAAATTCGACACTTCAAACCACCTTCAAATATTACGTCCACTTCATTTGTCATGAAGTAACAAGGGAACTGGCCTCACCTGGAACTACTTGTCAGTCGAATATCCAGTTGGTTTTAAACCTCTAAAAAAGGGGGACTGTGTATAAAAATGGCTCAAATTCTCAAAGAAGTTTTGGCAAAGATTTGCTAAAATGCCTTGAGTTAAAGCTTAAAGTTTAACTTCAATCACTTATTGATTGTTTGATTTAGAACCAGCCTTTGTGGTGTAGAAAAATAAAACCACCAAAATTACGCCTTTGTTCAAGTTATAGGTCGAACTTTAATATGGATCACTCTCCTCTTACCATGTACTAAATACACATGTCAAATTTGGCGGTCTATTCATGTTTTAAAATTTTCCCTTTGCTGTCTCTGACATGTCAAGACCGCTGCTACCCTGCACCACTGGTTGATATTTTAGCTGTTTCACATCTCCAGCTCCCACCATAGGGTCTGCAGCTGTAGGGTATTTACTTTAGAGAGTGACTGAGCTTAATACCGAGATCAGTACCTACTCAGAAATAACTGAAGTATTCCATGAACAATTTTAATATGCCAAAGACTTTTTTAGTTATGGCCCAACTTAACTGGTTATTTTACATTTTTTACTTGCATGTATTAGTAGTTTCTTGTTAAGTGATCGTTAACACGAGTTTTCCTATTGTTCTCGTCTCAGACTTCCAACTCTAAAGCAAATACTTACTTGTAATTTTTATTCATTATTTTAATTCATTATTGTAATCAAAGAAATGATCAGTCAAAACAAAGCCAATTTTAGATTGTAGATTAAAATGGTCGAGTGTTCAAAGCACATTTCCCATCTCTGTTATAAAGTTTAAGTAGGATACGAACAGTACTGCAAAGACAGTTAATGTTATTGGAGTGAAAAGCAAGCAATGTCTGATCGTCCCTTCTTGTTATCCTTTCCCTTTACAGAAGGATGCATTGGGAAACTTCAAGTGTGGTGCAGAGTATTTGCTTTCGCCTCTGGCAAGCAAGCCAGCATTTGCCTTAAAGTCAGATGCAGCGTTGACCATGTCGGTCCATCTGACTGCTGTAACTGTTGCTGTGGAGAATGACCACACGATCGCCTTTTTGGGCAGCGCCAACGGAGAGGTCTTCAAGGTTGAGTTCTCTTGT